TAATGTTCAGAATTTGTGGCTTAAAAATGTTGCCTGTTTTTTTGTGTGTGTGTATGTGTGTGTGTGGATTTTTTTGTTTTGGGGGCTCATCTATTTGTTTTTTGTTTTTTGCTTTGTTTTTGGCTTAAAACAACAGAAACTTATTGTTTCTCAGTTCTGGAGGCTAGAAGTTCAAAACCAAAAGTACCATGCTCCCTCTGAAACGCACAGGGGAGTCCTTCCTTGCCGCTTCCTAGCTCTGGTGGTTTGCTGACTGTGCTTGGCATCCTCGGCGTGTCTCTGCACCTGTCCCATCCTCCATCTTCACATAGTCTTCTCCCTGTCTCTCTGTCTTCACGTGGCCGTCTTCTTATACAGACATCTGGATGGTTGATTGTTAATTTCAGGGATTTACTGATGTTCCCTTTGTTGCATATTACCAACTTTTAAAAATGTTCCGTGGACATTTGAAAAAGAATGTGAGCAATCTCTTTTGGTAGAGTATGAAGTATATGTATTAAGTCATGTATTCAGTTCAAACCCTTTATATTCCTTGATAATTTCTGTCTGCTTTCTCTCAAAGATTGGGATGGTAGGGTTAAGTTTCCGATTACAATTGTAGATTTGGTAATTCTCCTTATATTACCAGCAGGTATTGCTTTATATATCTTGACTCTCTGTAATTCAATACACAAGAGTTCATTATAGTTAAATCATTGTGTATGGTATCATTTATCAATATAAAGTAAGCTTGGCAATACTCCCCTTCGTCTCAGTAATCTCCTTTGTCAGATCTTCATAGTACCACTTAACATCTGTTTAAAAATATTTTGTCCCTGATATATTTTTTCATTCCCTAATTTTAAACTTTATTTTGAGTAGGTTTCTTCTAAAAATTCTAGAGATGAATTTTTAATTTTTTAACTAATTATTTAAAACTTTGTCATCTAGTGAGAGCTTAACCCATTCACATTGCATGCTTTTGTCAACTTTTATCATCTTATTTTTTCCTCTTTTTTTATGCTTTGCTGTTATTTTTCATTTTTCTTTTTCTTCTGTTAGGTTGGAAATTTTTTCTTTTCTTTTTTATTCTAGTGATTTGCTATTTATACAATAGACATAATTCTACATTACCCTTTATTTGTTTTTAGTATTTGAACCTATATTTTTTTCAGCAATATTAAGAATAAAATAGTATCCATTAGCTAGTTATTTAGAATGGATAGACCATGTTTTTAAGGCAGCTTTCGTTAGTTTACATGCTCATTGTTTGGTGATACTGTCTGTTAATATATTTTGTTCATTATATCACCAAAATCATGGGTTCAGATCCCTGTACTGGCCAGCTGCCAAATACATATATATATATATATATATTTTTTTTTTTTTTTTTTTTCCTTGTTCTTGTTGTTCTGGCTTATTTTATTGAAAATGGGAAACACAGCGGTTAAGACAAGGGCTGAATAGCAGAAGAAATGGGAGCACATAGGATCTATGTGTGTCCTTTACCTTATATTTTTTAATATTCTCCTCTCCTTCCTGGTCCTCATTTAAGGTGATCTATTTCATGTGGTAAGTTTTTCTTCACAATTTATTTCATTTAGAGAAAGTGAATGCTACCTTCCCAGTGGGCTTTCTCCATGACAGACTAAAAGAAGTGATGTAACAATTTCATATTTCCATAGCATTTTACAGTGTGCAACTGTCCTCACATACATTTCTTCAGTTGAGCTTCACAACAGCCCTAGATATTATTAAATACTTGTTCAAGATCCCAAGACACCAAGGCCCACAATCATGAACACAGAGACAGAGATTCAGGATGAAGCACAGCTGAAACTCAGATCCAAATTGTTCTGACTCCAGTTCCAGGGGTCTTTTAGCTGCCACTACATGGGCACGTGGTGTAGCCAATTCCTGCAGTGTGTGGAGCTGTCACTCAAAGATAACCCATGGACCAGCCCTAGGACCTGGCACAAGGGAGGGACTGAGTTCATGTTTGCTGATTAAACAACTGTTAACAATCATCATTCCTTCAAAGCTAGAAGGCATCGTTTCTGTGGCTGTCCAGCAGATGGTGCCACATAACCAAGGGAATCCGTTGCATCCTTCCTTTTAGTGACACTATTAAAGCCACAACAGATCCTGAAAATTTCAAAAGCAAAAATCAGTATGGAGTTTTGAATACTATAGGAAAATAAAGGCGATACATTTTTAAATAAGTAGCTAAAATACTTATATTTACATACTTATATATAACTATACCATATTTATCAAAAAACTTAAATAATTTACCAAAATTCCATTTGAACAACAACAAGAAAAGCTACAGGTAAAATACTCCAAAATGGTCTGTATTAATCCAGAATACATTCTAGTTTCAAGTTAACTAAAAGTAATCAACTTAATCGTTTAGTTGGCTTTGGGGACCTTCATTACTTACTCTTTTGTATCGTGTCAGTTTTGTCCCCTTGATTGGCTCTGTATTCTTAGAAGGCCTTTGCAGAGCACATTGTACCTGTGTCCATCCCCTTGTAGGAGCTGGGTAGGCAGTGTTCTACCTGGGAACACTGAGCTCCTCTCCTTAGGGGCAGAGATCGCATCCTGCTCACGTTCATGTCCAATACCACCTTGTTTCATAAATGGGAAGGGATTAGAATTCTAAACGCTTAACTCTGGTCCAATACAGTTGTGGGGTTTTTTGTTCGTTTTGTTTTGTTTTGTTTTTTTGGTGGCTGGCCAGTTCAGGGATTCAAACCTGTAACCTTGGTGTTATAACACTGCACTCTAACCAACTGAGCTAACCAGCCAGTCCTAGGTCCAATACAGTTTTGAGAGGTGACAAGTCATGTAACACGTGAAGAGGACTGTTGTCCTAATTACATTGGGTCATAGGATGACAAGTAAGGGAGCCTAACTAGGGGGACTGGAAATTATTTATACTCCTCTAGATACAATACACAATTTGTGTGTATTATGTTTATTTAGTGCTTAACTGATTGCTTGAGAGGAACTCCCAAACGCACTCATGTTCGGATCACTGTTCCTATTTCTCTCCTTTAAAATCTTAATTTCCTATAATGCTTGAAAGGGGAAGAGGGCTATATGAAGGAGAGATTTACTAAATAGCATTTAATCCCCCAAATAACTTAATACAGCTTTAATATGCATTTTATAATGCCTAAATATTATTATAGAATTAAGTAAATATTAATCTTCTTCTGGGTGTTTGGAACTACTGTCAAAATAAGTATAAAATATGTTTCCTTCCCCTTGAAGCTTTTTATCAGCTACTTATAAGAATTATTTCCTTCCCCTTGAAACTTTTTATCAGCGTATTACACCTGCAATCATTAAAGTCCAGCATAAGACAGTGCTGAAATTTGTAATAGATATATTATGATAATCCAGTAAAGGAGGAAGAACCACTTTGGGCATTTAAGTGTCAGCCATTGTACTAGATAAATTTTAGTTATTATTTTTATTTAAGCACCAAAAAATCCTGTGGGATAGCTAATTATCCCCATCTAACAGAAGAGGAAATGGAAACTCTGAAAGTTTAAGCAACTTGTACAGATCACATAGCAAGTAAGGAGCCAAGAGTCAAGCCTTGATCTCCTTTGGTCTGCTAAGCTTAAAAATGATCTTCCCTTATGATGATAGGGGAGGACTTGATCACACCTGTCTCAGTACTGGACCGATCACGTAGGCAACAAACCAACAGAGGAACAGTTAATCTATCAGATGAAGAAAACAGATCTATGGTTATTAGAGGGGGGAGGTGGAAGGGGAGAGACTGGATTAGGGAACCAACAGAGGAACAGTTAATCTATCAGATGAAGAAAACAGATCTATGGTTATTAGAGGGGGTAGGTGGAAGGGGAGAGACTGGATTAGGGACATAAAGAATAAGTATGATTTGTAACAATGAATATGCTAATAAAAAATAAATTAAAAAAAAAAAAGATCTTCCCACTTCCTCCCAAGACTATACAGTATAATTATAAAGAATAAGTATGATTTGTAACAATGAATATGCTAATAAAAAATAAATTTAAAAAAAAAAAGATCTTCCCACTTCCTCCCAAGACTATACAGTATAATTGGTAAGTGTTCTTGGCAGGGGTGTAGCTTGAGTTAGAAGGTTCCATACAGGCTTGATTGGTAGATAAGAAGCAGATGTGTCTGTATCAGTCAACCTCCTGGAAGGAAAGAGAAGGTGAACTCAAAGTGAAAATTAAATAAAGTTTAATGAAGGGACTACTTACAGAGATGTGGCAAGATCAAGGAAACCAACAAGGGGAGGTGAGTCATTCAGGAAAGGTTACCACCTCCAGGCTTGAGGGGACTAGAGGAAGGAATGGCCCAGCATGGACCCAGTGTAGCCATGGGATTCCCACAGCCGCTGTGGCCAGGGTTAGAGGATCGACTGCCAAATTGCGTCCAGGTGGTGAGAGAATGGAGCATAGGGGTAGAGGGAACAAATCCTGACCTCCCCTCTTGCCCCCCAAAGGGCAAAGATCCCAGGAGCACAGTCTGTAGAGGTCAGCCTCTGGGCACAGAGCAGGGGAGAGAAGAATGGAGAATTGATCTGGGGGTAAACCAAGACTGGCCTGCTGTGGTTATTGTAAGGAGAGCAAGCAGCACATGCCCAGCCATAGGAGGAGGAGGTTGCCATGGCCTGTGTTGGGGCCTGTGCAGTTCAGCTGATCCAGGAGGCAGTGGGTGGTGAAACTGAATAGGCATGTTGGAATCACCTTATCTTAACTTGATACTTGACTTGATACTCAATAATAAGCCAATTTTGTTTCATATAAGCCAAGATTAACATAATTTCTTTTATAAGCCAGAGAGATAGGGAGATATCCTAGAAGAATGATGGGGGAAGGAAGGCAAAGGGGAGAGAAAACCATATGAGATATACATCCATCCCCCAGGACCCATCCCTATGTGGAGGCTGTTGGCTTGTGAATTTGTGTGCAGGTTCCCTTGCAGAGTTCATCTGGCTTTCTGTGTTCCAGTGACCTACGGCATGATGAGCTCCAATGTGTACTACTACACCCGGATAATGTCACAGCTCTTCCTAGACACCCCAGTGTCCAAAATGGAGAAAACTAACTTTAAAACTCTTTCTTCAATGGAAGACTTCTGGAAGGTATTTGCAAAGGACTTCGAAAGTTCCTCTTTATCACTGAAAGCTTTTCATTTGGCTTCATAAGTTTGATGCATGAGTATCTACAGGGCCCGCTATTCATTTAACACTGTGTAAGATGTTATAAGTTATGGTAAGTTGTTAGAAGTTACTGTTCCTGCTCTCAGAGGGGTAAACTAACATTAGCTGAGAATCTTGCATGTGCCTTGCACTGTTCTGAGTGTTTCATACCTTACCTTATTTAATCCCCATAGTAACCTTACAAGGTAAATACTAATATTATGCCCCAGTTTGTAATGAGGAAAATGAAATTCAGGATGCTTAAATGTGTATGGTCACATGGCTAAGGAATAAGAAAGATGGACTTTTTTTCTAGCCTGACAGCCATTTCCTTACCCTAGCTTATAATTCATTCAGTCATTCATCATTCAATAAATATTTGTTGAGAATCTCCTAGAAAGGAAGGCCCAGGAGAGCAGTTTGGTTGTTCTGTCTTGCTTTGCTTTTTATGTTTGTCTCTGCTGACAATGGCATATATCCCAGGCTCCTAGAATAGTACCTGATACAAAGGCAGGCATATTCTTTCAAATGTCTGCTAATGTGAAATTCAACCTAGCCCCTTCCCAGATTGTCACAAATTCCAGCATAGTAGCAGAGTATAAGCAATGAGTGATACCACAGAAAAAAATATTAAATTGATCTAAAGAATATGGTGCTTGGAATCTAAGAAAATTGGAAGGGACATGGGAAAGGAAATGATTTTTTCTCCCTAGGGAGATACTTTCTAAAATTCTTACTAAATCCTGGGGTCAGAGCTGCTGATTTTTTTTTTTTTTCCTGATGAGATACTTTCTAAAATTCTTACTAAATCCTGGGGTCAGAGCTGCTGATTTTTTTTTTTTTTTCCTGATTGGTAAGGGGATCACAACCCTTGGCACGGTGTTGTCTGCACCACGCTCAGCCAGTGAGTGCACCGGCCATCCCTACATAGGATCCGAACCCGCGGCCTTGGCACTACCAGCTCTGCACTCTCCCAAGTGAGCCACGGGGCTGGCCCAGAGCTGCTGATTTTAAGGATAAAAAAAAAACTGAGTCATAGGAATCTATTAATATATGAAAGTACTTGGTATCCAAAACCACACTTGTGTAATACGAATCTTCCACCACCTCAGTGGGGCAAATCAGTCTATCTCTATTGATCATATGATAAGGATAATACATTGAGAAGTGGCTAAATCTGTCTTCCATGTAGGCATAGCTCATTGTGCAAACTAACAAGAGACTTCTCACCCATATGCAGTTCCATGATAATAAGTGCCAAGCTGTACAGGGATGGGGAGGGGTTGGAGAGTTCACCATATAGCAAAATTGTCTAGTCCAGATAGCAGACTGGTAATCAAAGCTACAGCCTCTTCTCTCCAAACAAGTTTAGAACCATGATTGTGTGGGATGCCATTTTCATAAGGGAAAGTGGAATTGATCGTGGCCATGGATTTATGCAACACCCCCACCCACCTCTAGTCTTAGAACAAAAATCAGAGTTGCTGTTTATTAAGTGTCCACTCTGGCCACTGCAGTGGCCACGTAAAAGATGAATTTTCCAGATGCAGGAACCATGACACAGAGGATCCTGCTCAAGGCCTCACAGCTAGCAAGTGATGGAGCACAGTCCAATTCAAATCTCTCTGACAACAAAACCCACTCTCATCACTCTACCATGTTCGTCGAGTTGCCAGACTGTTGATCATGCAAACATTCCAGGCAGGAGTAAGGCAGCTGCTGAGCTTGGAACTTTTCAGAAATGTTTCCTTTGTTTCAGTTCACAGAAGGCTCCTTACTGGATGGACTGTACTGGAAGATGCAATCCAGCAACCGAACCGAGGCTGACAACCGGAGTTTCATTTTCTACGAGAACCTGCTGTTGGGGATTCCACGTATACGGCAACTCAGAGTCAGAAATGGATCCTGTTCTATCCCCCAGGACTTGAGAGATGAAATTAAAGAGTGCTATGATGTTTACTCCGTCAGTAGTGAAGACAGGGCTCCATTTGGGCCACGAAATGGAACTGCGTAAGTATCTGTGACTCATGGCCACTTGGTGACGTGCACTTATTCATTCTGACAGCTTCACCAAGGAAAAGATGCCTTCTGTGACTCTTCAATGCTTGTATTGAAGCTGTAGTCAAATTGACCTTTGGCTTCTCAAGTTTTCTCTGATTTTTAACGCTCTCAGTTTCTCCATGCATATTTTTCAGAAGGCTAAATTGTTGACCATATGGCCCACAAAAAAGAAATTATTTGAGCCTGGGCAGATTTCATTTGAAATAATTGGGCCCTATTTTTATAGGTCCAGTAGCATTGTCCACTAGGGTGTTTACTAGGAAGTTTTCTAGTACAGAAATTCTTTTTTTATTAGCTCTTACAAATAGATTTTTGTTCAGTTATTTAAAGTGTAATTATTATTATTATTATTTTTTGTCTTTTTTTTTTTTACTGACTGGTAACGGGATTGCAACCCTCGGTGTCACGCCCATACCGGGGACCGGCAACGGGATCGCAACCCTCGGTGTTGTGCCCACACCGCGCTCAGCCAGTGAGCGGGAACTGGTCTCCAAATGGGATCCGAACCCTCAGCGGGAGCGCTACCGCGCTCCCAAGCGGCGCACTCTCCAGTGCGCCACGGGGCCAGCCCTAAAGTGTAATTATTTAAAGTGTAAGACTGTGAGGCAGTTTTCTATCTGGTTTAAAGCCTATCCTTCTCAAATGTTTGTTTATGATTTTAAGTATGTATTTGTACATGTGCATATTTGCAGGGGTTTTTTAGTACACTTTGGTATCCCTACTTAAAACATCTTGTGTATCAGGGGAGGACATGTATTACTTTTAGAATGTCTGTACTTATTATTTTTAAAAATGGGAAGAGCTCTCAGGCTGTCTTAGAGTGGGGCTCTTGGGGTCACTGCCTCAGGTAAGTCACTGTGGGCAGAGTCATCTTCTAAGCTTTGCTAAGCTAATTCTGTCAGTTCATCTTGATCCTTTTCTTGGGAACTGAGTCACCCAGAATCTGGATTTGTTAATAGAGAACAGGGCGGACACTGACACCTTTTTGATGACCAGATTCTTTGTCTACCATCTAATGTATACTCTGTTACCAGGGTCATAAGAAACAAATTTAGTGAAAATCAGGAGATTCAGAGCAAAGGAACTGAATAATCTCAAAAGACATTTTTTTCAGGTTATGATAGTGATTTTGCTTTCTAATGCATCTTTTTCTAGTCCCTGCAAAGCATAAGCATGCCTTTAATCTGTGGCACCTTTTCCAATATTTTACTTTATCTCACATCTTTTTTTTTTGTCCTTTTTGTGACCGGTAAGGGGATTGCAACCCTTGGCTTGGTGTCGCCTGCACCGCACTCAACCAGTGAGCGCACCGGCCATCCCTATATAGGATCTGAACCCATGGCGGGAGCGCCGCTGTGCTCCCAGCACCGCACTCTCCCGACTGTGCCACGGGGCCGGCCCTATCTCACATCATTAATACAAGAAACTTATACAGCCACTACTCTGTGCCAGACACTATTTAAGAAGTGATTTCATGCATTATCTCATCTATCCTTTACAAACCAACTCTAAAATAGGTATCATCTCCATTTTATAGAGGAAAAACTGAGGCTCACTTACCCAAAGCGTCACAGCTAACAAATGGAACCGAGCTGGGATTTAACCAGCCTAACTGCAAAACTCATGTTTCTCCTACTACTCCACGTTGCTTCTTCCACAGCAATCACGTTGTTAGGCTGGCTTCTTGATGTACTCATCTCCCCACCAGTATTTAAGCTTCCTGAGGGCAGGGACTCTATTTTGTTCCCTGCTATGTTCTCAAAGCCTTGAACAGTGCCTGGTATATAAAGATGCTCAATAAATATGTATTGAGGGCCGGCCCGTGGCTCACTTGGAAGAGTGTGGTGCTGATAACACCAAGGCTACGGGTTCGGATCCTATATAGGGATGGCCAGTTAGCTCACTGGCTGAGTGTGGTGCTGACAACACCAAGCCAAGGGTTGAGATCCCCTTACCGGTCATCTTTTTAAAAAAATAAAATAAAATAAATAAATAAATATGTACTGGATGCATATGTGAATAAGTGATTTCTGCTACAGGGTGATCACTGAAGGGGACTTTTCCTGTCCATATCTAAACCATCCCTTGATCCTGCTGGATTCCCAAGTCACTCCCATTCCTACATCCCTTCAACTCCAAACTCCTTGAAAGAATAGTCTTCACTTCCCACCTCTATTTCCTTACTACTTATTCCCTGCTTAAGGCTTCAACCCTTGCTTTTGATCTCTCTCCCAAAAGCTGCCAAGGACCTCTAGTTAGCAAATCCACGGAACAGTCCCCAGTGTTCACCCTGCTCGACCTCCATGCAGGATGTGGCTGTGTTGACCGCTTGTGCTTTTGGCTTCCGTGACTAACACTAAACTTTGCATTCTTTTAAGTCTGGAGCTCCCTTCTTCTCTCACTTCCCCTCTCATAAAACCACTCCTAAGTTTTATATTTCCGTCTCTTGTTTTTTTCATTATACTCATTCCCATGGTATTCACATGGCTTCCACTCTCATCTCTATTTGATGACTCTTCATCTCTTCAACAAGTATAGTGTGGCAGCAATGTGCCAGGCACGTTCCAATGAAGGCTCGCTCTTCTAGCAGCGCCCTAGGTGCTGGGGTAGTGAAGCAGCAGTAAACAAAACCTCCTGTCTTCACGGAGCTCACATTCCAGTGATGTGAGGCAGGTCTGTCTGCCACCTGTATGTCCCACCAGCTCCTGTAATGCAGTATGCCCCAAACTGAACTCTTCACTTTCTTATTGGGTCTGCTCTTCCTCCTGTGAGTGGCACCACAATCTTCCCATTACCCCAAAGAGATTTGAGTCATTTTTGAGATGTCCTCCTCCCCTGCCCCAACCTCCAACTCAGTTGCCAAGTCCTTTTGAGTCACTGCAGTGGCGCTCTTGGCCTTCCCTTTCCCTCCTGTTATCACTGCTCTAGTTCAGGCCTCATCACCTTTTGGTTTTCACAGGCCCTGCTCACTGGGCTGTGTCGAGGTCCCCAAGACCACCCCCAGGTTCACTAGAAGGACTTGCGGGACTCAGCATAGGGGTGGATTCATGGCTAGGGTTTATTACGGTGAAAGGATACGAAGCAGCAGAAGGAAAAGGCACATGGCAAAGTCTGGGGTACACCAGGTGCAGGCATCCAGAAGTCCTCTCCCAGTGGAGTCACCCAGGCCGTGCTGAGTTTTTCTAGTAATAATGTGTAACCACACAGGTGACGGTTGTCTACCACAGAAGCTCATTATAGACTCTGCCCAGGTGTTTACTAGAGGCTGGTCACAGAGGCACCCTCTGCCTACCACATTCCAAAATTCCAAACCCCAGAAGGAAAGCAGGGCTGAGCATAAGCCGCATTGCCTGGGCGAACAGCTGAGGCACGGGGAGCTGTTCTTACCAGTCAGGGGAGTTTTATGTCAGTGTAGGGAGCTGCTTGTCTGCCAAGTTCCCAGGTGCCAGCCAGGGTCCAACCTTGTAAGCAGGCCTCCCCAAGGAAAGGCCTGCTGTGTTCACCCTTTCTGCACATGAGCCCTCTGTTCTCTCCACTCCAGTCTTCCCTGTGGTCACCAGAGTAAGCCTTGTTCTGTGTTTCTCAGAAACCTTCCCTGCAGTGATGCCTTCACCCTTGCTTTTCACAACCTAACCCCTGTCTACCTTTCAACCTTCCTTTCTTTATCATATGGAGCCACACTGAACTACTCACTGGGTACCTTGTATTTCTCTGGCCCTGCATGGCTCTAGCTTAAAAATGCTCTTACCATCTACCTGTGCCAGAGCAAATACTGCTTACCTCTTACCGTGCAGGTCCAACACGGCTTCTTCCCAAAGCCTTCTCTGATCCACCTCTCCCAGACCACCAAAAAAGGATAGCTTTCCTCTGATCTGCCAGTGTAATTTCTTTATATTTCTCTTTTGGTTCTTATTATCATCTACCTTGTATCTTGTTTAATTACAACTTTTCTCTCCCTACTTGATATAAATTTGGTAGGGAAAGAGTCTTAGTCCACCTTTCCATCCCCATTAGTGCCAAAGAAGCATCTAGTTCCTAAGAAATTTTCTGTAAATCTTTGTGGATTAAATTCCCAAATGCTGTGTGGAGTCTTAGTTCTGCTGAATTTACCTGTTTGTTTTTGTTTTTATTTTTGTTTTTTAATTAGTTGGATCTACACAAGTGAAAAAGACTTGAATGGGAGTAGCCACTGGGGAATAATTGCAACCTATAGTGGAGCTGGCTATTACCTGGATTTGTCAAGAACAAGAGAGGAAACAGCTGCCCAGGTTGCTAGCCTCAAGAAAAATGTCTGGCTGGACCGAGGAACCAGGGCAACTTTTATTGACTTTTCAGTGTACAATGCCAACATTAACCTGTTCTGTGTAGTCAGGTGTGTACCAAGGGCACGCATCCCTCCCGTTTCTGTGTAGTTGTACGTGCATCCTGTTTTAGAGATAGGCCAGAAAACCTTTGCCTGTAGTTGGCTAAGTAAGGATGCCCAGGACCCAGACTGATAGCAAGGGCGGAATGAAAACTGAAGGCTTATTAGGATAAAGATACTTGGGGAAGGGAGTTAGGATCCTGGAATATTGTGAGTTGGAATAAAACTTAAGTCTGGTCCAAGTTCATCTCAATGCTGAAACCTCTCCAGAAAAAGTACTATGTTTTTCTAACATCCTCCGTACCCATTATAAGCATGATCAATGCTACATGCTCTGTCCCCACGTCCCCTTCCCATCAAATCTTGACTCATTTCCCTGAGTTTCCCACTCTCAGATGATGCCCCTGCTATTAGAACACAAGCAGAGTCAGGTGCTATGCCTGATGTTCAGCTCATGCTCAGGGCTCACCAAAGGCACATGAAGTTCCTTCCACAAATCCTGTGATGTGGCCGTCATGACCACTGGGAGATAGTGAGGAAACTGACAAGGATTCCACTGGCTTGTTTGGGGTCTCTTGTTCATTCATTCATTCATCAAACATTTATTGGACACTTAATATGTGCCAGGCATTCTTCTAGGCTCTTGGGACACCTCAGTGAACAAAACAAAGACCCCTGTCCTTGCAGATTTGCATTCAACCAGAAGGAGAGGGATAATAGATAATAATACACAAAATAAATAAATTATATAGTATGTTAGAAGAGAAAAGAAAAAAGATTAAAAAATAAAGCAGGGTAAGGGGGATCTGGAATTCACCTACCTTCATCTTCCTGGTGAACCTTGTCTGAAACACTGACACATTGCCAACATGGACTACCTACACATATATTTACACATAAAATAAGAAGGATATATTCTCATAGTATCCTTTTTTATCATCATTTTTTAGGTTAAACCCAACTGTGCTTTACATGGCCAACTGGATTTTATCAGTCCTTGTATTTAACAACTTTTGCAGAAAATACCTCATTAAATCAAGTAGTAGTTATTATCAGAAATGAAGGAAAATCTACTGCAATTATGATTGAGCTTTTCCTAATGATTCCAGTGAGGATAGGAAGAGGATAAAAACAGGCAGGCAACTCTGATTGACATTTAAGTAAATATCTAATTATAGATGGTCTTGACTATTTCTTTCACTTCCCATACTGTGAGTCTGACCATTGTCACGCAGGTACTTCATTTCTCTATGCTGTTTTCTCAGTTTCTAGAACTGGTTGACAGTGGAGGCCAGAGCGGGCCACAAAGAGACGACTTGACACACAGAGGCCACTTCCTTCCCTTTTGAGTTCACACTGAGCTGTCACGAGGCTTTCCACTTCAGTATTGCTCTCCTGAGTCTTTGGTTCTCACCCCTACTCTCCAACACATCAAATAGGAAAGGAAGAACGGAGAATTGACAATGAAGGGGAAGGAAGAATTTTCACACTTCTTTGTCCAATTCTAATTTTAAGTGGTCCCTGCCTTTACTTGATCATTGCTCACACATGGGTCCTGGATACTCAGGTTCTAGGTGTGGCCACCCACGGAGAATTGACAATGAAGGGGAAGGAAGAATTTTCACACTTCTTTGTCCAATTCTAATTTGAAGTGGTCCCTGCCTTTACTTGATCATTGCTCACACATGGGTCCTGGATACTCAGGTTCTAGGTGTGGCCACCTGTCCTGTAACAGGAGAGATGGTGATGCCTACTAGCTGACTTTTAAAAGCCTTAAGATTAAGAAGCTAGAATTCTATTTCTAGTTACATAGGGAAACTATACCGTTAAGTGAATCACAACTTTCTCAATGTGACACTTACAAAATGGGAATTTGGCAAGGAAAATCCTCAGTTCAATTACAGTGAAGCACTACAGGTCAGTGCCATTAGTATTACCGTTAAGTGAATCACAACTTTCTCAATGTGACACTTACAAAATGGGAATTTGGCAAGGATAATCCTCAGTTCAATTACAGTGAAGCACTACAGGTCAGTGCCATTAGTACGAATGTAAAACAATGTTCGAGTATGTTGCTGCTTCAGCAGTCAGACATTTGTTGAGGACTTACCTGTTAACTCTAAGACTCTGGGAAGAGGAGCAAAAAGTGCGCTGGAGAACACCTATTTGGTACTAATTAGGTGTTACCAAATGAATGAATGAGATACTCAGTTCCTCCCTTTATATATGTATGAAATATATACCCTCCTTCACCAGGTCATACATGTTTTGAGTGCATGGCTTATATTTCTTTATGTTCTTCATGTTGCTTAGTAGAATGACTTGCATTTAATAGAAGTCCTAGAAAGTCTTTTTCTATTGATAAACTTTTACATTTAAAAAAATTATACAGTATTTTGAGCAGTATAAGTATCACAAAAGTAAAGGGAATACTGAGGAGGAAGTAATCCTTTTGGGCTGAGAGACCTTGGAAAGTCTTACTCCTTTTGTGGCACAAAATTCTACAAGTATGGAGTTATTAGCTGTGATAAAAGTGCTTGCTACTGGTTTGGGGTGACTCGTGGTAGTGGTTTTGTTAGCTTATAAAGCGGGGACAGAACAAGTGGGTGTCCTTTCCTGGCTACACCTGTGCGTTGTTGTTCTAATCGTTCTTATTGCCATGCAGGTTATTGGTTGAATTCCCAGCAACGGGCGGTGTGATTCCATCTTGGCAATTTCAGCCTGTAAAGCTGATCCGATATGTCACAACTTTTGATTTCTTCTTGGCAGCCTGTGAGATTATCTTTTGTTTCTTTATCCTTTACTATGTGGTGGAAGAGATATTGGAAATTCGCATTCACAAACTACGCTATTTCAGGAGTTTCTGGAATTGTCTGGATGTTGTGATTATTGTGGTAGGTTTGAGAACACCACCAAATTCCCTAAGCGTTTTAATTATTGATCACCTCAGCATTGTGGATCTTGATATTCCCAAAAGAGAAGCTAAAAGTTCCCTTCTGTTATATCAGCTTCTGTGTTACTAATTATTTTCTCCTCTTGTGTGAGTAACCTTTCTGAATATAAAGTGGTGGGGCACGTACAGTCAGCTCTGAGCCACGCTAGTAACGAGAACAACTCAGTAATTCATATTTGGCTTTGGAATGCCATATGAGATGTGGGGGAGAAAACAATGTTTTGTTCTGTTTGTTTGCAAATGATATTTTTCGTCAACTGAGTGAAAATTCATTTATATTTTTCTGCATGTACATAAAATTATGGTGAGATGAAATATCCTGAAAATATGTTGAGTAGCAGAGAATACCTCAGCTGAAAATTTCCTGCAAATAATCCATGGAGTACAAAATTTAAATTATCTATCAAGATTTTCTGTATGAGGTACAAGAAATCATAAGGCAGAGTTATGTAGTCAAGACTTGTGGTTTCTGTGCCTTGTAGATTCCGTGCCTGGGCTTGGCTCTGTTATAACTTTCAACACTTGTTCAAGATGTTTTCCCTTTATCTTTATCACTTAATTAATTAAGCATCATCTCAATCACTTCCTTCTAGAGGCTTCAGTGTGAAAATGAATTTTTACAAGGTTTTCTCCTTCATCAATAACAGATAACCTTTTGCTAAGTCCTGGTATACATTTAAGCATTTAACAACATACTTACTTGCTACATGCTTAAATGTGGAGATTGGCACAGCTGTACCGTATGTTATTCCATGTCTATCCTTCCCACTGTCCTGTGATAGAAATCACAGTAAAAGATGTATCACCCTGTTAGCATTCTCTCTTTTATAAGCCTTCCTCATTGGGATTACTTTTTCCCTCATCCCATTACTAAAATGTTATTTGGCCTTTGTGAAGCATTTACATCAAATCATTATTCATCCATTTCCCACTAGAATTAGTTGATAAAATATAGAAAATACGTTATTCATATGTAAGTGAAAAAACACTTAAGGCATAAAAAAGAACTACAGGGATGAACATTGCATGATAATAGCAGTATTAGCAGCAATAATAATAATAATGGCTAACACTTTAGAAGCTATGTGTTAGGCACCATTCCAAGTGCTTTTCATAACAGAAGCTCATTTATTCCTCACACTAAATCTCTTAGCCACTGCCACTGCCTCTCAAGCCACGTACGTGTGCACTTTGGAAAGAGCTTTTATTTAAAATAAAAACTATAGAAAAGATACAGTGTGGAACCCATCAGACCCCAATGCAATTAGAAGTGCATCCCATCATTTAAGATAGATATGTAATGCACATTTCTCTTGTTCCTGGGGGTCTCAGGAGGCAGGACTACACCTAGCCCCTGCCAGGAGTCCCCCAGGGAGCAGGGCTGCAAGCAGCCCTGCCAAGAGAGTGCAGGGAGGTGAGTTGCCCAGGGCACACCTTGAGCTAGGGGCTGCCGCCTAGGGAAGTCAGCAACCAGAAATCAGACACAAAGTTCTGGGGCTTAGCGCTTGCACTAAGCAACTTTATTGTCTTCCAAGTATGTATTATATATGTTTTAGCCAGCTGTAAGCCTCTCCCACACCTCCAGCAGTATTAGCAGCAATAATAATAATAATGGCTAACACTTTAGAAGCTATGTGTTAGGCACAATTCCAAGTGCTTTTCATAACAGAAGCTCATTTATTCCTCACACTAAATCTCTTAGCCACTGCCACTGCCTCTCAAGCCATGTACGTGTGCACTTTGGAAAGAGCTTTTATTTAAAATAAAAACTATAGAAAAGATACAGTGTGGAACCCATCAGACCCCAATGCAATTAGAAGTGCATCCCATCATTTAAGATAGATATGTAATGCACATTTCTCTTGTTCCTGGGGGTCTCAGGAGGCAGGACTACACCTAGCCCCTGCCAGGAGTCCCCCAGGGAGCAGGGCTGCAAGCAGCCCTGCCAAGAGAGTGCAGGGAGGTGAGTTGCCCAGGGCACACCTTGAGCTAGGGGCTGCCGCCTAGGGAAGTCAGCAACCAGAAATCAGACACAAAATTCTGGGGCTTAGCGCTTGCACTAAGCAACTTTATTGTCTTCCAAGTATGTATTATATATGTTTTAGCCAGCTGTAAGCCTCTCCCACACCTCCCTGTCTCCTAGGTAACTCAATAGGAAGTCTGTGGTTTGCGGTTAAGCTTTGCAAATTTTTGCTGACCCAGTCTATTTGCATTTCTGCTGATACAGTCTAAATCCTGGAAAGCAAGAGTCCCTCCATCTTTAACATGTGTTCTCCTTCATTTTCCTCCAATGTAACATTACACAATTCAGGGTAAACACTTGATCCCCAAATTCTCAATGTATTAATAATGAGCATAGTTACAAAAGAAATTCATATTTGGCTTTGGAATGCCATATGAGATGTGGGGGAGAAAACAATGTTTTGTTCTGTTTGTTTGCAAATGATATTTTTCGTCAACTGAGTGAAAATTCATTTATATTTTTCTGCATGCA